AGAAGAAGGACTCTCAGAGCATCAGAAACTAAACTCTCTGCTCTGATGAGACTCAAACCGAACTGTTTGGAGTGAACACCAGGCGTTACGTTTGGAGAAAAGCAGGCAGCGCTCATCACCAGGCTAACAGCATCCCTACAGTGAAGCATGGTGGTGTTAGCATCATGCTGTGGGGATGTGTTTCAGCAGCAGGAGCTGGAAGACTAGTCAGGAAGACCTGCTTCAGAGTGCTCTTGACCTCAGACTGAGGCGACGGTTCATCTTCCAGCAGGACAATGACCCTAAGCACACCGCCAAAATATCAATGGAGTGGCTTCACAACTACTCAGTGAATGTCTTTAAGTGGCTCAGCCAGAGCCCAGACCTAAATCTTATTAAACATTCAGAGATCTAAAATTGTCTGTTCACCTTTGCCTCCCATCCAACCTGATAGAGCTTGAGAGGTACTGCAAAGAGGAATGGGCAAACATTCCCAAAGGTGTGCAGAGCTTGTGGCATTATATTCAGAAAGACTTGAGGCTGTAATCGCTGCCAAAGGTGCATCAACAAAGTATTGAGCAAAGCCTGTGAATAGTGATGTACATGTAACTTTACAGCTTTTTTATTTTTAATAAATTTGCAACAATTTGAAAACTCTTTTTCCACATTGTCATTATAGGGGATTGTGTGTAGAATGTTGAGGAAATCAATCAATTTAATGCAATTTCGAATAAGTCTGTGATAAAATGAAGTTTTATCAATACTTTCCGCATGCACTAACACAAACCAACAATAAAAGGGTTTATCAGTATATTACATTAACAAAGATTAATATTTTAACTAATATACTGCAAATTGTTATCTAATGATTGACTATTAACATTAATTGTAAAGTGTTGCCAAAATGCACTTCTATATTTCAAATTAATCATTGCAATTAAATAGCTAAATTTGGATTTGGACATCGAGACCATGTACACTGAAAAAAAGTGTTGCATGCAGAACTGTTGCAAACAATTTATTTGTGTTGATTTTAAACAAACAAATGAAGTTTAATAATGTTCAACTTAATTTGTTTGTTTAAATTCAGCCCAAAAAAATTGTTTACAACCACTTAACGTTAAAAAAATCGAGTAAATCCAAAGAATCATCTTTGAATATATTGAATATATATCACAGCTACATAAAAGCTGTCTGCAATAAAAATCAGGGTTTAAAAGACATGTTTAAAAGAGCTACGAGTTTGCTATCGACTGAATCTGTGAATTATGTGCGAAGTGTCCTTGGACTTGAGATAAATAGAGACCTTGCTTTTAAAGAGCATGCAGAAATACAACTTGCAGATCGAAAGGCTCATCATTACCTCTAAACTGATCGATGACGCTCCTTAAATTAATATTGGAAGACTCTAAATGGCGCTTGGTTTTCAGATTCAACTTTATTTGTCTAGAAAGCATGCAAATACTGTATCGACCAACACAAAAGACAGCAAATGTTCCAGAACTGAGGAGAAAACAAAGCTTTACACTGTAAAAAGACATCGCAAATCAACAAAGCCACATTATTCAGGAGAAAAGCTGATCTGTACCAATATCAAATGAACCGTTTGAGTGATTAAAAAACATTTTCATTTAAATGTGTAAAGACTACATTACCCATAATCCAAATAAACCTATCTACCAATCAGAGAATTAACAAGACATCACAAACGTCAATAAGAAGATCAGCATACTCTCATAAAGCATTGCGAATGGTGTTTAGTCTCTTTAAACAAATACACAACCTGACAAAAGTCTTGTCGCCTATCCAAGATTAAGAATCAACAGATAATAACAGGACTCTAGTTGATGATTTGGTGTCAGAAGTGTCTCTATGAAAGGTGAAGGCCTCTAGATTTTGCTGATTTGAGCTCAATAAATCTGATCATGTCTTGATGTTGACTGATTTGATGAGGACAGTGCGGTCTGACTCTGCTCAGACTAAAGTCTCATCACTGAACAGAAATAATGTCCAGTATAGAATATAAAGTCCTGCTGCAGTGGAGACAGAATGAATATTGTGTCTGACTCCATCATGAGCTTGGAGGACTGCATCCATACATCTCTGACATGACTCACATCACTGATTAATAAAGTCATCTGGAATGAAGAAGAAAGCCTTCAGCAGGATCCCAGAGTTCATCAAGGGTCTCTGTGTTCATCTTCAACGCCTCCTCCTTCATCAGCTCAATAATGTTGATGTCTGGTGACTGGGCTGGCCAATCCTGCAGCAGCTTGACCTTCAGGAGCTTTGATGTGGAGGCTGAAGTATGAGCAGGAGCGCTATCCTGCTGGAGAATTGTCCCTCTCCTGTGGTTTGTAATGTAATGGGCAGCACAGATGTCTTGATACCTCAGGCTGTTGATGTTGCAGATCTCTCCATACTGAATGTACCCCAAACCATGATTTCTCCTTCACCAAACTTGACTGATTTCTGTGAGAATCTTGGTCCATGCTGGTTCCAGTAGGTCCTCTGCAGTATTGGTGATGATTGGGATGCAGATCAGCAGATGATCCAGCAGAGAAATCCACCTTCTGACACTTTTACACATCATCAACTAGAGGTCAAGTTATTATTTAATACTCTTACAACTGAGATCCACCACAAGACTTTAGTCAGGTAGTGTATTTCTGTAAGTATTTAGCAAAAAACACATCAGATTATGTTGTACTACTGTTTTTAATCCACGTGTCATTCACAATGCCTTACAGTGCGAGTTTAAGAGAAAAACAAATGTGCAAAAAACTGCTGTTTTATAAACACATACGCATACAAAATACATAAATACCACATTTTACAAGAAAAAAAAACTTCTTTTTACTAAAACCATCGAAAGCACAATGCCAGTCATTATGCAGAATAATCAGCATATTAAGAAATCTAGGTAACACTTCAATTTGAGTACCAATTCTCATTATCGTGTCTAATTTTCTGCCTATTATTAAGATATCGGGTGTTTATTAGTACTTATAAAGCACGTATTATGAATGTATCTTATTCTACATTCCTTATCCAACATCTAAACCCAACTATTATTATTAATAAGCAGCAAATTAGGAGTTTATTAAGCTAAAAGTCTATTATATTAGTTAAAGGTGGCATATTATGAAAACTGAAAAAACCCAGGCAAAGCTGAATAATAAGGGTTTAGTGCATGGCTTTTACATGGTGTAAGCCATACACATACAAGTGTCCTCGTTCTCATGTAAATCCCATAAATGTAAAATCCCAGTGAAAAACAGGCTGATCTGAACAAAACACAGTTAAGTTTCACACACGATCATTAACATGCACACCTCAGACAACGTTTAATTACTAAGATTAGAAACAAAAAGATTTTTCCGCCTATTCTTTTTAATGTATCTAAGCTTATATTAAAATTACTTTGTATGTGGGACTCTTATTTTGAAAACAGGAGAGGCAGAGAGATCAAAGCCAACAGTTTAACTTATTGAATCAATGCACTCTATGACACCTTTAAAATCATATTTTAATTTTCTTATTTTTAGATGTAAATACAGGAGTAGTGCTTGTTGTGAATAACGTTTCTGCGCACTTTATTATTTTGTAAAAAATTAAATTGCCCTCAGAATATTTAATCAAAAATCATAACATTTCCACAAAATGACTTGGGCTATTAATCCTTTAGCTACGAGCCATCTGCCATTTAAGGAGGAGCTATCAGCCATTTAGGCTGGAGCTATCATTCAGGGCGGGGCTATCAGTCATTTAGGATGGAGCTATTAATAATTTAGGGTGGGGCTATCAGTTATTTGGGGTGGAGCCATCAGACATTAAGGTGGGGCTATCGATCATTTAGGGCAGAGGTTCTCAAAGTGGGGGTCGGGACCCCCCCTGAGGGGTCGCGGGACAATGAAGGGGGGTCGCCTGGTGATTTTCAAAAATCAATTAATTTTTATTAAACCTTAAGACTTACTGTATTTTATCAATAACCTACTGAAGAGAAAAAAATAGTAGTTTATAGTTACAATAAACTATATAGTTACTATAGTAGCTTATAGTTAATAGTTCTATTGGATTGCAACTTCTCGGTTAATTACATTATACTAAAGACACAGCAATACTGTCAGATGCAGCAGATTGATTTTATAACACCAGGTTAAACTTTCTAGCCCATTTACAGCACTGACATACATAAAAAACAACAACAAAGAATAGACTTGGGTCTATTGGTGTGTGTGCGTCATTGCATACAAGGTTTCTGTATTTATAACCACCACCTTAGAAAATATTGGGGGTCACGAGTCACTGGCATTGTCATTTTGGGGGTTGCGGGCTGAAAAGTTTGGGAACCCCTGATTTAGGGTGTGGCTATCAGACGTCTAGGGAGGAGACATCAATCATTTAGGATAGGGCTATCAATAATTTAGGGAGGAGCTATCAGTCATTAAGTCTGAGGCTATCAGTCATTTAGGGAGGAGCCATAAGTTATTTTTGGGAGGAGACATCAATCACTGAGGCTGAGGGTATAAACCCATTAGGGCAGGGCTATCAGTCATTTAGGCCAGGGTTATCAGTCATTTACGGAGGAGCTATCAGTCCTTTAAGGCGGAGATATTATTTATTTAAGGTGGGGCTGTCAGTCATTTAGGGAAGAGACAGTAATTTAGGGTGTGGCTATCAGACATCTAGGGAGGAGACATCAATCATTTAGGATAGGGCTATCAATAATTTAGGGAGGAGCTATCAGTCATTTAGGGTGGGGCTATCAGTAATTTGGGTCGAGGCTAATAATCCTTTAGGGAGGAGCTATTAGTCATTTTGGGAGACATCAGTCATTAAGGCTGAGGTTATCAGTCATTTAGGGAGGAGCTATCAGTCATGTAGGGAGGAGCTATCAGTCATGTAGGGAGGAGACATCAGTCATTTAGGGAGGAGCTATCAGTCATTAAGGCTGAGGCTATCAGTCATTTAGGGAGGAGCTATCAGTCATGTAGGGAGGAGCTATCAGTCATGTAGGGAGGAGCTATCAGTCATTTAGGGAGGAGACATAAGTCATTTAGGGAGGAGCCATCAGTTATTTTTGGGAGGAGACATCAATCACTGAAGCTGAAGATATTAACCTATTAGGGTAAGGCTATTAGTAATTTAGGCCAGGGTTATCAGTCATTAAGGGAGGAGCTATCAGTCCTTTAAGGCGGAGATATTATTTATTTAAGGTGGGGCTATGAGTCATTTAGGGTGAGGCTATCAGTGCAGGTCTTGTTTCTGAACTGCTTTTGTATGTCAATCTTCCTATTTTGTTAGCCACGCCCATCTTCCAATCATCCAATCGGTTCACAAAAGACAAAATCATGACTTTAATAGCAAGAATTGTACCCTTAAATTAAAGCGTGACCACAGTCTCTAATCATCAGTAATATGAGTGACGTGAAAGTCGCTGAGAGCTGTGATAAAAACAAAATGCTATTGGCTGTTTTTCAAAAAAGGGGAGGGGCTACTATATGCCCCGCCCTCTCTTCATGTTTTAGTTGAGATTACATCAAACATCAATTTAAAGTCAAAGCACTTCAATGTGACCTTTGACTCCTGTGATTTGTACAGTAAGAATGGTACCGTTAAATAAAGTGCAGCCGAAGTCTTTAATCGTCAGTAATATGAGTGACGTGACAGACGCTGATTTCTGCTCCCTTCCTACATTCGCTGTGCGTCTGCGGGTGGATGTCCGTCTCCTCTGTGCTCTTCCTGGAGGTGTAGGTGGATTTCCAGCGCAGCAGAACGATCCGCTTGAAGTATTTCACCGTGTTATTCTTGACGCTGACGAAGCAGAAGGTGTTGATCATGCTGTTGCTCATCGCGATGCACTCGATGATGTAAAAAGCCACCAGTGAGTTCTTCTCCCGTGAAATAAGCGTCGGATGGAAGTCCCGCAGGATGGTGTAACCGTAATACGGAGCCCAGCAGAGGATATAAGCCGTGAGGATCCCAATAAGCACCATCACGGTTTTCCTCCGACATCGCAGACGTTTACGAATCTGCTCCGTCTGGAAACCCGGCACGCTCTTAAACCACAACTCTTTAGAAATACGCAGGTAACACAAAGCCATGGTGAGCACCGGTCCCACAAACTCCACCGCGAAAATGAACAAGTAATAGGAGCGGTAGTAGAGCTGCTGGTCCACCGTCCAGATCTGTGCGCAGAAGGTTTTGCTGTGGTTCGCTCCGTGCGGGACTTTGGTGGCAGATGCGAAGTATGCCGACGGGATGGAGATGAGCACCGGGACGACCCACACTCCTGTGATCAAACAGTACGCCGTCTGGTGCTTCATTCTGGGCCTCAGAGGATGAACGATGGCCATATACCTGAACACAGAGACCACAGTCAAACATCTGGAGGCAAGGGATGCTTTTTAAAGACGTGTTTAATAGTCACCAACATCTTACATCTTATTTATGAATATTTATACGTCCAGTTAAAGTAAATATTACTTTATTATTGCTCATAAACAATCATTAAGCCCTCGTGCTGCAGGAATTAGGAGGTTTGCTGAAGGTGCAGCGAGGGGTTTGCATATTTAATAAACTATGGCAGTTTGCATTCACTGAACAGTACAAATGATTAATAAATCCATATGAAACAGCCCCTTAAAAGTCACGTCTTGCTTTTGTAACAAAGGCCAGCTTGTAAGTGCTGTGCAGGTAAACCTCACTCCTCTGACCTCTAAAGGTGCTTTAGTGACAGACGCTAGACGTTATGGTCTTTAGCCTCCTTGTTAGAGCAAGCGACTCCGATGCGGAAGGTCGTTGGTTCGATACAGCTTAGAGCGGGTTGGATGGTGTAGGACCAGAGGGGTTACACTTTCAGTTTTGGGCTCAGCCGCGTTTTGCACTCACACACAAGCATACCAAAAGCCCAAGTGAACCGCGCTCAGAGCCCGATTCAGCTCACTCACACTTCTCAAGCGATCCGGGAAACAGGCCTGGGCATGGTACGGATAGCATAGTGTGTGTACGCCCTTAAATTCAACAAACGGACTGTCATAATAAAGTGTGATCTTGAATTCGCTTTAAAAAATGCAGTCATGCAGAAAGGATTAAATCACATTCTCTGCTCAAGTCCTACTGCCCCAAACACATTTGAACATTGTGATTGGCCGTGCCTTCCTCTACTGTAAAGTGAGAGGCTGTCGCTACACTCAAAAAAATCAACTAGGCATGTTTTGGATTTACAAAATAAAAATTTGTCAGATTGAAAAGAACAGATCAAGTTTACATAGGTTAAATGATTAATTCATGTTATTTGAAACTGAATCAAGAAATAGTCAAATGAATTTGATCAGAACATGTTGATTCAATGAGACTGAGACGCTTCAAATCAACAACTCTCACTCTGGAGAGTCACTTGGCGCATATCAGTAGGTGGCGGTAGTGCATTTGGATGTCACCATATGAAAACAACAAGAAGAAGCATCACCGCGTGTTTTCGGCACAGTTTGGGAATTGGTTTTCCCAAGAGCTTGAATGTTATGCATGTTATGTTGTTGCCTATATGTTTCCTATACATTTTATACTTTTACATTTTGAATAGGAGTACCAAAGTGAAGAAAGCTGTTTAAACTCAATTGGTAAAAAAAAATGATGTTAACGTCCTACAGGTATTGCTTGGGGATCAGTTTTCTTAAGAGCCAAGGTTATTTTGTTGGCTAAATGTTTCTTATACATTTTATATTGCATATTACAATTTTGGATATTATATAACATTTTGTATCAGAATATGTGATTGGTGCCTGCTAAAGGCTATAATAAAAGAAATATATATATATATATATATATATATATATATATATATATATATATATTAATTGATCAAATAATAAAAGATATATATATATAAAACATGTTTTCTGTCCTTTTTGTGTTGAATTACTTAATTTTAAATCTTGCTTCATAGTATTGCCATTTAAAAATGTAATTTAAACAACAATATTGAACATAATTTTGTTATTTGTTAAAGTAAAGCTTTAGTGTTACATTGAGTAAATCAGAATCATTTTAATTAGAATAACACAACACAAACATTTTGAGTCAATTAGTTGCAAAGAAGTTAGACTGACATATTGAAACCACGCTTTATCTGCAAATGTGCTTTGTGTTCATACAACATGTTCAAAGCAGTTCAGGTTTACTTGATTGGATTAGATGCATAAAGGGTGCCACGATTAAATCATGTTCATTCAACTATTTTTTTTTTGAGAAGTTACCGCCAAAACTACAGGAAATGTTCACCGTGCAAGAATGAAAGGTGTGTGAGATGGGTGACACGCAAGTGAGGATGGCAAAGCAAAAAAAAAAAAAAAAGAGGTGGACATAAGGACCTTTTTCAAACAAAAGTTTAAAGCCATGGTCACTTGAGCAGCAGTGCATTTAAGGGTGCCAATGAGTCTGATTGTGCCTGGAGCATCATTACAGGAAAACCCACCACTGATTTTATTCATCAACCACCCGCCAGTCTTTTGAACCAGACTGAAATCCTTGCAGTGCTATAGTGCTGCCCTTCTACATTTAATTCACTCACTGCTGTTCCAGCGCCTCGTTTTTAAAATGTCAATTTAGATAATTATAGAAGTTAACACCGCTCAAAGTCATTGCGCATTTCTCTGGCGTGTGGGCCCAAAATGTTAATCACAATGAAAAATACATGAAAGCCACACAAAGATCTCAGAAGTGCTTAATGAGAGGCTGTAAAATACCAAGAGAAAAGCACAAAGACTTGAATATCACAGTGTGTACGCCGGCTGGTGGGCAGGAATGGAAAATACTGAGTGATCTGTCCTGTTCAGAGTCATTTGAAAACTGTTAATAAAGCATGGAAGAAATCAAAATTCAATCATTTTCCCGCAGCTTAGTCTCTATTTCAGAGGTCACCACAGCAGAATGAACCACCAACTATTCCAGTACATGTTAAACCCTTCCTGCTGCAACCCAGTAAGGGGAAACACCCATACACATTCATTAACACACACACACACACACTCATAAACTACGGCCAATTTATTTGATCAGTTCCCCTATAGCGCATGTGTTTGGACTGTGGGGGAAACCGGAGCACCCGGAGGAAACCCACGCCAACACAGGGAGAACATGCAAACTCCAAATTGTCAAACTTCTCTCTTATTCTCTCATACTCTATTCTACTTCAGACAATATGCTGTTTACTTCAGCAAATCAGTTCAGCGTCTGTCTAAAGTGGCATCTTCAAATTAGCAGAGGAGGCTTTTGCTCAGCTGTCGATCTGAGGTTTGTTAAGATGCGAGACAGCTTGAGATTTGAGTCTGTGATTAGTTCATCACACAGAAGGGTTTTTCAGACATCTACACACTTGTGTTGTCGAACTGTTGTTGTATCGTTATATTTGTGATGCTCAATATCAATGCAATTGTGATTGTTTATATCCTCCATCAGAAGCTGTTGATATATTTCATGACGTTACACCTGCATTAAAGGCATTGCACTGGTTACCTGTCAGTTTTTAATTTTAAAAATCTCTACAGTTTGACAAAGTGAATTTAGTAGTTTGCAATAATAACGTAAAAGAATTATTATCTAGAGAAATAAGAGTGTAAAATAACAGAAAACTTGATGCAGTTTATTACAAGGTTTCTGTAGTGTAATATACAACACCAGCCCACACACTATAGCACTTTACACTATTTAAAAAGTCATTAAAGTCACTTTTTCAAGCTTATCAAGGTTAACAGTTGTTGGAGGAAAGATGAAGGTGTCAAAATGCAATTCAAAAGCATATTATAAATGTAAAGCATATTCATACATTTAAAAAATGCTTAAATATTATACAGTATGCATACAGTATATTTGCACTGATAAACAATGAATAATAGATGTGCAGCCGACAACTCTGCAGCAACTGTGTGATGCTGTCATGTCAATATGGAGCAAAATCTCTGAGGAATATTTCCAGCAGCTTGTTGAATCTCTGCCATGTAGGATTAAGGTAGTTCTGAGGGCAAAAAAAAGAGGCTCCAACCCCGTACTAGTAAGGTGTACCTATTAAAGTGGCCGGTGAGTGTATTTTTAGCGTTATATTTACTTCAGGAAATGAACTTTAGCTCAGTATACATGCTCTGCAAAAAAAGATGTGTGATCAGGTTTGAACAAACTACACTGTAAAAAAGTTGACAACTTAAAACTGTAAGGCAACTTGCTCAAGTTAGATCAGTTTAGTTTACTCCAGTTAGAGGTTAAAAGTTGAGTCAACTAAAAAAAAAAGACTGCGCAGAACAGGCCCGGATTGGCTAATCGGGAGGACCGGGAGAATTTTTTGGCCGCGAGAGCCGGTATCCAAAGCTCCAGAATTGGTTGCTCTCAGCAGTCACTCTTTTTAAATTAATTTATTTATTTACTTGACCACAGCCTTTTTATTCATTATTTTACCGCAGCTCTACTCCTCTATTCTATTGTCTCTGTTGTAGTTCAGTGGATAGCAAGTTAGTTTTAGGCACCGCGGACCCGGGTTCGATCCTTGTCTGAGTAATTTTTATTTTTTTTATTTTTATTGTTAAGACATATAATACTGTTAGGGTTGTTGAACATTTAAAGTTCTAAAGCAGTTTTTTTCTCAAAAAAAGACGTGATAGTGTAATTAGAAACTGAATTGGAAATGACCTTATTTTAATATAGTCAGTCATGAACTGAGGTGGGCCGGTCTGAGGCTTGAAACTCCAGGGCTGAAAAGGAGTCCCACTCCGGCCCTGGCGCAGAAAGTTGACTTACAATTTTAAGTTGAGTTAACTCTTACATGTTTTACAGTGTAATGACTGTGTGAAATGTCTTATTTAGATGTAGCATCAGGGGAAATTTTACGAGATATTCAGATTTGAGGAATGAAACAGACCTGACGTCACACTGCTCTGGAAATAGTAGAGGAGCTGAAATGTATTTTCTTCTTTGAGCCCATTTGCAGCTCTCTGATCTAAGACTAATTTGCACAGTAATATTGTCGGTGTTTCCTAATGCTTTATTCCATTACATGCTTTTAGAGGAGAAAGTGCATTATTATTATTATGATTTCCTCAAGCCACCTGTAATACATGCACCAGAGAATATGTTAAAAAAATACCTGCATAAAGACATTGTGTGTTTGAGGACCCGAGGGAATCACATATGCTATTAGAGAAATATTCCAGACAGGCTTTCTTACGCCACCATTAACAGTGAAATGGGTTGAGGTGAGAAAAAAACACACAGAGCATAACTCAGACTCAAACTTCTGAATGTAGGAGAGGTTTTCAAGACTGATGAACATTTTTTAATGAAGCCTGTATTTATCTTTCGATGAAAAGACAGCTTTGCATTTGAATCTAATGGAGTTTAATTGTGCATGATATTTTCTCACTGTGTGGATGATCATAACTTTTAATGTTTATTATGCATTATAGTTTTAATAATTTAAGTGATAATGGGGCAGCACTGTGATTCAGTGATTAGCACTGTGGCCTCACAGCAAGAAGGTCGCTGATTCGAGTCACAGCCAGGTCAGTTGGTGTTTCTGTGTGGAGTTTGCATGTTCTCCCTGTGTTGGCATGGGTTTCCTCCGGGTGCTGTGGTTTCTCCCACAGTCCAAACACATGCGCTATAGGGGAATTTATTAACTAAATTGGCCAAAATGAGTGTGAACGAGTGTGTATGGGCATTTCCCAGAACTGGGTTACAGCTGAAAGGGCATCCGCTGTGTAAAACTCATGCTGAAATAGCTGGCGGTTCAATCCGCTAGTGGCTACTCCTGATAAAAAAGGAACTCAGCCGAACGAAAATAAATGAAGTCATAATTAGCTATCATCATTCTGCAGTTCTGAGTGTGCCTCACACAGGTGAGTGGGCTTGACAAACCACCTGTAGAAAACACACTTTTTTTTTAAAATCTCTCTGACACTTCAACCAACACTTGCACTAGTTTTTGCACATTTACACCAAACACTTTCTTACAATCACTCCATATCTATTAATAAAACAACAACATTAAAATAGTCAAATAAAAAACATTGTGCATTCATGAAGTCTGCTTTCCACAATGTGGAACCACACTCAGAAATATTCTTCTCTCCAAAAAGGTAAATAAAACACTCCTCCTTCTTTATCTAGCATTTAATTAATTGTCTGAACTGTTCCTCTGTATAATCAGCACTTGTTAAACTTAACGCATGACCCTGCCTTTCCAAATAAATGCGTATAAATGGAGAGAAAAGTTTGTGAAACTTCACTTATTAATTAACCTTATGAACACTCTCAGCAGTGGTCATTTGAACTGGAGATGGATGATGATGATGATGATTGAACATTTTATTACAATCTTAACAATTTACATTTACATGTAAAGAATTAGATATTGATTATTTCTTAGTTGGGGATCTTGACAAAACTTTTAGAAAAGAAAAAAGCATATGTAATTCTACTAATTGACAAATTACAATCAAGTAATTAAATATACAATATTGCGTTTACAACAGTCTGACAGCATAATCAAGTATATAAAAAAGCTAATCAAACGCGGAGTCTCAAAACTCTTTTGTATTATAAACTACTTTTCTCCACCATTTCTTCACATCTGCAGCTGACATCAGAACAGCCAGCCTGATCAAGAGAAAATGCAAGTATTTTACCTTTTGACAGTTTAGTGGCTATTTCATCATTCGTAAATTGTACGATTTTAAAAAGGAGGTGTGGCACCTAACCCCAGGGCCAGAGCAAGCTGAACTGCCGCTCTAGGCAGAGGACGATCACGCCGCCCTCAACCCCAATGTGAAAACGAAAGTGACTGGTTATGAAAATGAACTGAGGTGTTGCGGACCTCTATTCTGCCGCCCTATGCGCGGATATAACTGAGGATGCGCGGTTGCTGAGGGAGGGAGGTGTCGCGGACACCGCGCTCTCTATTCTGTCGCCGTCTACGCGGATATAACCGAGGCGCGGATTTAACTGAGGACATGCAGGTGCTGATGGAGGTGTCGCTGACGCCGCCCTCTTTATTCTTGCGTCTATGCGCGAATATATCTGAGGACGTGGGTGTTGAGGGAGGTGTCGCGGACATAACTAAAGACGGGGGTGGTAAGGGAGGTGTCGCGGATGCCGCCCTCTCTATACTGCCGCCCTAGCCGGCCGCCTAGGTCGCCTCTATGGACGCGCCGGCCCTGCCTAATCCCACCCCTAAACCTAACCGTCATTAGGGGATGAGCAAATCGTACGAAATTTTACGAATCAGATCGTACGAATTCATTTGAATTAGCCCCTAAATCAAAAAGTTAAGAATTGCAGTGAGATTGTGTTCAGAAGCTGCTGCTCATTCACTAACGTCGTTGCAGCGCTAGTGTTTGAATGATTCTCTAGCGTAATGTCTAAAGTGATGACAAAACTGCTGATTTTGCACACATTTTAAGATTATAAGGCTGAACAGCATGAAATGCCATCAGTCTACAGAGATTTCCCAATATTTCTCTGTCAGAATATCACATTATTACCATGGTATGAATGCAGCACTACAAAAAATAAATGAGAGAGACGACTTAGAAAGTCATTTATATGTTTGTTTTATATGTTCATTTATATGTTTGATGATTTGATCAGCTGTAGTTTAAAATGACGCTGTTTTTCTCCTCTAAGGGCTTATTATGCGTTCTCTGTCATCCTCTTGTGGATGAACATTGTCAACCGTCTTTGTTCGAAGACAGTCTAATAGCCGCTGACTTGCTGTCTCTCAGAAATTATAAATATTTTGAAAATAGGCTCTATCCTTATAAATGAATTGTATAGTTGCAATCTAAACAACTACACAGCCTCAAAAGTGCATTATGTTGCCCAACAGCTGCAATATGTCAAACTGTAAAGTGTCCTCTGCTTGGTGCAGAATATCACACGCCCATCAGCCAATCAGATTCAAGAACCAGACAGATCTGTTGTATAAATAAATATATAAATAAATTATTTTTTAACAATATTTATATGGAGAAACTCTTATTTTCCTTGTAGATTAGATCTTTAAATGTAAAACTGACTTTATTTTATTTTATTTGAAATGTTATTGCTATTATTAGCTCCTTTACGACTTGTTTTTCCCCCATTGTCAACACAATTACCCTAGTGAAGCCTTTAAAGTCCCTTTAAGCTGAACACTAGTGTCTTGACGAATATCTAGTCTAATATTATGTGCTGTCATCATGACAGAGTTATTAAACAAATCAGTTATTATGAGTTATCAATGATTAGAAATGTGTTGAGAATTAAAAATATACATACATTTTTCTTCTAACTAACTGCAAATGTTAATCTTGTGCATGGTTAGTATACAGTATGTAAATCCCACTGACCTGTCGACAGCGATGGCCAGTAAGGCGTTGGTGGACACATACAGAGACACAGTCCTGAGGTAATTAACTGAGGCGCACAAAACCTTCCCATGATCCCACGACAGCTGCTTGACCACATAATAATCCACCAGGAACGGGCAACAGACCACGGCCACGATGAAGTCCGACACGGCCAGGTTGGCGATCAGCAGATTGGTCAGGTTTCTGAGCTTCTTATATCGGGCCAGAGTGGCGATAAACACAAAGTTTCCGAATCCGCACACCAGCATGATGCAGACCAGAACCACACCGATGACGATGGTGGCCACAAAATAGGCCAGGCCCTGCGTGGTGTCCGGCATCTCCTCCGCCGGGACCCCGTAGTCCATCATGTCGTAAAAGTCTGTGTAGTCATGGACATCCAGAACAGGAACGGGACTGTGAGGACTCACGTATACAGCTGCCACGTGGCTGATATTGGCGTCCTGCATGGCTGTTTCTGTGAGATGCAAAGTAATTAGGTACTGTAAATAAAGAAACACACAATTTATTTTCATTCAATTCATAACTCAAATTAAACAGTGGAGTTTTGAATCTATTCAGTTGGTTTAGCACTTTTAGCTTAGCTTAGCATAGATCATTGAATCGGATTAGACCATTAGCATTACGCTCATAAAGAGAGATTTGGTCATTTTCGTATTTAAAGCTTGACATTGTTTTATCTTGTGCGATGACAGATCAAAAGTGAAAAGTTAATTCTTTTACATTTTTGGAGCAAGATGCTAATGGTCTAATCTGATTCAATGACCTATGCTAAGCTAAGCTAAAAGTGCTGCATAATATCAATAAAATAGTAACTTTTCATTTTTCCGTTGGTCTTAGTGTAACTATGGAAGTGAATATTTAAATATGGGAATTATAAAAACTCTTTGGTCATTTCTGATCAAAATGCTAATGGTCCAATCTGATTCAATTATTTATGCTAAGCTAAGCTAAAAGTGCTGTGTAATTACAATAAAATAGTAATTTTCCATTTTTCCGTTGGTCTTAGTGTAACTATGGAAGTGAATATTTAAATATGAAAGTTATAACAACTCTTAGGTCATTTTTGAGAGAGATGCTAATGGTCTAATCTGATTCAATGACCTATGCTAAGCTAAGCTAAAAGTGCTGCATAATATCAATAAAATAGTAACTTTTCATTTTCCATTTTTCTTAGTGTAACTATGGAAGTGAATATTTAAATATGGGAATTATAAAAACTCTTTGGTCATTTCTGATCAAAATGCTAATGGTCCAATCTGATTCAATTATTTATGCTAAGCTAAGCTAAAAGTGCTGTGTAATTACAATAAAATAGTAACTTTTCATTTTTCCGTTGGTCTTAGTGTAACTATGGAAGTGAATATTTAAATAAGAAAGTTATAACAACTCTTTGGTCATTTTTGAGAGGGATGCTAATGGTCCAATCTGATTCAATGACCTATGCTAAGCTAAGCTAAAAGTGCTCCCGTCAGACCCGGAAATCATCTGAATGAAATAAAGAATGGAAAAACTCTGTTTAACACTAGAGGAGCTGTAGAATGTCTGTTTTTACAACTAAATATTGGTTCAGAAATATTTATTAAATATAAGTTATGTATTCAGAGATGCAGAGAAATTGCATATATATAACTTTATAACTTTATTCAAATATTAAAAGCTAGATTTGTCTAACAATTGCAGAAAGAAACATTAAAATGAGTAATACATAACATCAAATTATGCTATACACGAAATTTGACGTCATTCATTTGAAATATATACATGTAAGGAAAAAATACATAAAAAATACAACTAGAACATTATACTCGACTTAAATTGAAAGTAATATAGTGTGATTACTATTATCCATGCATTGAGGTTTATAGGGATTTTAAGCTATTAAATTACCATTTGACTAATTCAGCTACTTTTCAGATAAAATACTTTAAATACAATTTTATTGTCGTAATTAGTAATAAACAATTGTTTTTGGAGTAACTCACCCAACACTTGTGCTGAAGCTGTGAGGTGTTGATCTACTGGTCAGTCAGCGCTCATCATGATCCAGGATACTTCTTGCCTTTTCAGATTAATAAGTTGGAAGCCATGCATAAAACACAAAACAAACACTGATGCCTTTTCAGGATAACTGGAACATCGACCTTATTCTGCAATGCAAAGTCTGCTCGTTTTGCGGTTGTTTTAAAACTTCAGATTTTGTTTCCTCTGGGAGAAATGAAACGACAGAAAAAAGGTCAAACTGTTTTCTGTGCAAACGAGTGTGTTCATGACTTTACATAAAAAGTTGAATAATGTAATAAGGAACTATCAGCATCAAGCAGTATAACAACCTGTTTAATAATGTCTAAAAAGATTCAAACGGCTCAATAGTGTGATGTTGTAAAAATTAGGCTTATGATAGTATCAGATTTTCTTCTTTTTTTTTTTGCAAGTAAGTGATGACGCCTTTATAACACAGTCTTGTCCTATAGCTGCACCAAAAAAGTTACTTCAAAAGCCCCATCTGATCAAGTACGATGAATATAAAGATAACAATAAAAATACACATATTTGCATCCACATCGACTAACAATAGCAATCTGTTTAATTTTAGTACGTTTTTTTTTTTTTTGCATTACCCCTTTGTAACCAGCAGGTGTCCACAGAGTGCTGTTTCTAGCACATCTGACCACTGAATCCAGCTCGTGTAATCGATCTAATATTCAAACAGTCAATTTATTGAAACTACACTGAATACCTGATGTACTTTTATTTTTATATTTCAATTCCCAAGCCTGGCTTGCATATTTCATCTATTTTAATCATCATTTTAGAAATTTTAAATTTGCTGGAATGTAAGGTTATAAAGCCTTATGGCCTCAGGAACAAAGGTGAATTTATATCTAATGCTCTTTTAATAGATATAAACTCACCTTTGTTAAGTTTAAAGTATTTTATTTATGGGTCTGTCTTTATTGTTGTTTTTAGTAGTATTATTATATTTATGAAGTCACTGTGAAGCATGCTGGATTGTGTTTTTTAATATTGTTTGTAAGTGATTTGTTTTTGTATGTGTTTGTTGTGTCATCATGCTACTGTCCTGCCCCTGGTTGGATTAATAAAGTTGTTAAACTTTAACTTAATTATTTTCTATGCTATAACCAATTAGTTCCAAGATATAGTTATAGACGATAGTTCATTTCTGATCGAGATGCTAATGGTCTAATCTGATTCAATGATCTATGCTAAGCTAAGCTAAAAGTGCTGCCTAATTGCAAAAAAAAAAAAAAACAGGAGTTTTTCATTTTCCATTTTTCTTAGTGTAATTATGGAAGTGAATATTTAAATATGAAAGTTATAACAACTTTTAGGTCATTTTTGAGAGAGATGCTAATGGTCTAATCTGATTCAATGACCTATGCTAAGCTAAGCTAAAAGTGCTCCCGTCAGACCCGGAAATCATCTGAATGAAATAAAGAATGGAAAAACTCTGTTTAACACTAGAGGAGCTGTAGAATGTCTATTTTTTCAACTAAATATTGGTTCAGAAATATTTATTAAATATAAGTTATGTATTCAGAGATGCAGAGAAATTGCATATATATAACTTTATAACTTTATTTAAATATTAAAAGTTAGATTTGTCTAACAATTGCAGAAAGAAACATTAAAATGAATAATACATAACATCAAATTATGCTATGCACGAAATTTGACGTCATTCATTTGAAATATATACATATAATGAAAAAAATACATAAAAATACAACTAGAACATTATACTCGACTTAAATTGAAAGTAATATAGTGTGATTACTATTATCCATGCATTGAGGTTTATAGGGATTTTAAGCTATTAAATTACCATTTGACTAATTCAGCTACTTTTCAGATAAAATACTTTAAATACAGTTTATACAAGATACAAATCGTTTAATTATCTTCGAAAAGATGGCTTTAACATCAAGCAGAGTTCTCTGCAGCTTTATATTGCATGAGTCTAAATTGTTTCTCTGCATCTTTTTACTCGTCATGAATGGTTTTGTTTCGGGTTAGTTGAATGTATCTAAACGTAATTATTTGAGTCAGATTTTACAAGAAGACTCCATAAGGTAATGTAATAACTATTAGGAACTAATAATGATTTCCCAGAGATGGGTTGCGGCTGGAAGGGCATCCACTGTGTAAAAACTTGCTGGATAAGTTGGCGGTTCATTCCGCTGTGGCGACCCCGGATTAATAAAGAGACTAAGCCGACAAGAAAATGAATGAATGAATGAACTAATAATAAACAATACATTTACAGTATTTATTAGTTCAACATTTAATCAAGAACATGCTTATTAGATGCTTTTAAATCTATTTCAAAGATTCACTTTCACTCTCTAGGCTTTGAGCTATTTGAAATCTGTATTTCAGTTTATACATACATTATTTTTCTCTCATATGTTATACAAATTTTTATTTTATTGTATTTGTATTACTGCAAAGCACTTTGAATCAACTATGGTTGTATCAAACTGTGCTCTATACATACAATTTGTCTTGTCCTTGTCATATGACGGACAATAAGTGGAAACAAACTAAATACTAGTTTACTACAGTGCACACTGTACAGTTTATCAATTCACTATAAAGTCAATATACTGCAAAAATGCTGTTCCTATAAGAGTTTTGTCTTATTTCTAGTCCAAAAATATAAAGATGGGAAATCAAGATGCAAAAAATAGTGTCTAGACTTCAGAAATGCAACAACAATTGGCTAAGCAAAACAATCACATACGTCACACAATCACAAATGAAGAAAAAAACTCACTTAAATTTGGACATATTATTTATAAAAACAAGACAATATGTTTTTTTTTGTCTTAAAAATGCTTCTTGATTTAAGTAATTTGTAGATATTTAGACTAGAAACAAGACAAACACATTATTTCAAGCAGTTTTTTGCAGTGTACTATGGTAGTATGGTGCTGTAAGGTAAATATTGTAATAATCCTACCACATTATATTGTAGTGAATACTGAAATATACTACAGTAATTTTATCACATATAGTAGTTAGACATATACAATAACCGTGTAGTACTAAACACTGAAATATACTACATTCTGACAGATTATGCACTGAAATAAAAAATAATTCATTAGATTTACTTTTTGTTTTTAGTACTAAACAATTAATATAGGCTGAATTTAAAGAAATTAAATGTAGTAATGTTCAACTTCATTTGTTTGTGTAAATCCAGCACATATAAATAGCTTGCAGTCACTTACCTTAAAAAAAAACTATAGTAAATCTAATTAATCGTTTTTATTCAGAGTGTGACATTATCTGCTAGGATTAATATTAAGTTTAGCTTACCGACTTTGAAGCTGTGTGATTGAGAGTCATTGTGTCCGCTGGGCTGCGTCCGTCTCATTCAGACGCTCATTCTCTGTGCAGAGTCTTCATCTTCTCTCTCCCTCTTGTGGCAGATGTGAAAGTCTTCCAGCACTGATGTGTTTATTCCTTGTCTCTGTTCACTGTGCTGAGTGTGGATGTGTGCAGTTCCTGCTCATGAGCAGCAGTGACGCGCTCTCCAAACTCAAGAGACCCTAAGAGACGCGCGACAATACAGACAAAGCTGTGCACTTATTATTACACACCATTTCATATGATCACTGGATGCAGTTAAAGCCACAATTATTTGCCCTCCTGTGAATGATATTGAACAGATTCAGGAGTTGTTCACAGTGTTTCCTGTATTTGTATTTGAATATTTGTTCTTCTGGAGAAAGTCTGATTTGTTTTATTTGGGCTAGAATAAAAGCAGTTCTTAATTTTTTTAAAGCCCTTTTAAGGTCAATATTATTGGCCCCTTCAGCAATATTAGTGTTGAATTGTCTCCGGAATAAACCCCTGTTATACAATGATTTGCCTAATTACCCTAACTTAACATCAATAACCTACACTACTTGACAAAAGTCTTGTGGTGGATCTCAGTTGTAAGAGCAACCAACACAATCTCACGGCAATTCGTAACTTTTTGCATTTAGTGGCTAATTCGTATGAATTCGTACGATCTAATTCGTACAATTTAGTACGATTTGCTCATCCCCCAATGACGATTGGGGTTAGGGGTGGGGTTAGGTGCCACGCCTCCTTTTTAAAATCGTACAATTTCGTTTGACTGAACTCCTACGAATTTGTACGAATTAGCCACTAAACTGTCAAAACGTGAAATGCTTCTGTATTCTCGTGAGATCAGGCTGGAGCAACACATAAAAACTTGACTTCAGGTTGATCATGAACCGCCAACTATTCCAGCATATGTTTTACATCTTCCAGCCGCATCCCAGTACTGGGAAACACCCATACACACTCATTCACACACACAAACAATCATCCACTACGACCAATTTAGTTTATCAATTCATCTTTAGCGCATGAGTTTGGACTGGAGAACATGCAAACTCCACACAGAAACCTTCTAACTGTGAGGTCACATATCTAACCACTGAGCCACCAGCACAATCTCACGGCAATTCGTCACTTTTTGATTTAGTGGCTAATTCGTACGAATTCGTACGATCTAATTCGTACAATTTAGTACGATTTTCTTGTCACCCAATGACGGTTGGGGTTAGGGGTGGGGTTAGGTGCCACGCCTCCTTTTTTAAATCGTACATTTTCGTACAACTGAACTCGTACGAATTTGTACGAATTAGCCACTGAACTGACAAAACCTAAAATACTTACGTTTCCTCGTGAGATCAGGCTGGAGCCACCAAATCACCCCTATACACATATACAAGCCAAAAATTCTTCATACCCCTGGCAAATTCTGACTTAAATTTACTATTATTAAATCAGAACTTTAGATATGAGATTTGGATCGGATTCTACCAAAAGATAATAAGACGATGTACGAGAGGCATCACTGTGAAAAGCTTCTTTTGAATAAAAACTTTAAGTGAGAATTTTCTGGTGACATAAACAATTTCCACCTTACATATCTATATACTCCTTTTAATTTGCCCTTTTCTGTTGACCTCTATTTATTAATCCATTTAATCTAGTTTGAAGAGGTAACTGCAGGAACTAACCTGTCAGACCCTAATTGAACAGTAAACAGTCTGAGTCTCTACAGCTAAACTGAGCGGCATTAAACTAAAGCAGAGCAACAGTGGCTTGTGTCACGCTTTCCTAACTCTTCATTCACAGATACGAGCGACGCCACAGTCACTCCATCAACCCTTCAGACGCTTCAATTAAAGAGCAATAGCACTGTCTGACGAGCAAACGGATGTTTATACAAGCAATGAACAATTGATCAGTGAATATTAGCACTGCATCTCCTTTACATTGCTATTAGAGAGCAGACAACTGCTGAAGCACATCTATACCGTGTAGATATAGAGAGACATTTTAGACAAATTCTGGATAACACTAATGATTCAAACCGCAAAACATGCTTCTACTTAGATGTTTTGTCTTGTTTCTATTCTGAATATCTACAAATATCTTAAATCGAGAAGCATTGTCTGGACAAGCAAAACATGTTGTGTTGTTTTAAGAAATAATGAGTCAACATTAAGTGAGTTTTTCATTAAAACAAGCAAAATAATCTGACAATGGGGGAAGAAACATAAGATTACTTCGCTTACCCCAATGGCAGATTATTTAGCTTGTTTTAAGAATAAACTCACTTAACTTTTATGTATTATTTTTTAAAACATGACAACATGTCTAGAAAATGCTTCTTGATTTAAGAGTTTTTAAATATTTTGAGTAGAAACAAAACAAAAACTCAAGCATTTTTGCAGTGCACTAGCTAATTTTAAAGGAGCCGCCATGTTTTAATACACAGCCAGGAGATTGCAGCGTAAATATATATACATATAATAACGAGCCATGGTCAACCCAGGCTCAAACAAACCTCGTCGTCGTCTTGATGAACAGCCAAAAAGCCAAGAAGAAGAGCAGATTTACCCTGTGCCACGTAGTTTTTTACGAGCCAGTCGGTAGCGCGAGCGGTTTCACTTTCTTGCTTGCGCTAGCCGCACGTCTATATCTGAAATAACAAACTTCTTGAGCTGACGATAATAATGTACGCTTGATTATTGACGTGCTTTTAAATCCCGATCCTGTCAGAAGCTGAAAAACGCGAGAATGAAGGGCGAAAAAACAAAGGAGACGCCGGAAAAAAGGAGCACATTATTTCTTCAGCAAACGTGAACAAAGTGCCTTGTTTTAATTTGTATCATCAGCTTTTGGACTAATATGAACTGGGAATGACTCTCTAACAGAGGCTACATGTGCTGCTGAAGATTACAGACACAGATGAGAGGTCTGCTCTGACTGTGGCCTATATTTCGTTTTGTTTTGAACCTAAATGAGGACTAAATGTCTGCTCTGTGCAGTCCTTCTGTAATTGGTAACATATCGGAGACTGTAAGGGTCTGTCTACTTTATTCTTTGGCTTTCGTATTTGTCTTTTCTGCTTTCTGGAACCGTTTTTGCCGCCCTCTGCTCCTCATTGCATCTCAAGTCCACAGACGTACAAGGCGAGCCACTGAGCAAACTGGTAACAGCAAGAAAGCCAGTCACATGAAGATAAGCGCTCAGCTGGTAAGCACGAAAAGGAACGGCATCATACCGCCCTGTAGCGTTTGTTTTAAAGACGAAATGCAGCCATACGTTCTTCTGGCTACACAATTCACGATCTCCAGAAATGTATATAGAGGTACGTTTTCAGAATGAGCCTATGTTTCATAAATGAGCACACCCCCTTTTAAAAATGAACATTTTAATCCATTTCTTTTACTGTGTTCACACCAGACGCGTCAAATTCTCTTCAGAACAGACGCGGATTTGCGTGATGGGCAGGGCTTCTGTCTGCCCGCTGACTCTAGCTTCATAGCTAAATGGCTAACATGGATTTTATGAAGAAAATAACAGTGTTTATGTGCTTTATTAAGGCTGAAAAACAACGTCGACACGTTTAGGGCCGTGTCTGAGTCCACTAAATCCTTTCAGAGGTGCATCCAGCTCTCTGAGCTCCTAAACTCCTCCAGAAACTGTACCTGGATGACGGAGGCTTTCAGCGGTGCTTCTGACTGAGTCCAGCCCAGTTTGATGAACTATTGTCGGTGTCGGCTGGAGGATTTCCCCCAGGACACCAACAACAGGCGATACGTCACAATCACGCCACCACAAGAGCAATGTCCTGATTGGTTAACGCGGTGCAAACGCCCGCTGAAGTTCAGACTTTCGAATTCGAGCAATTCGCGCGAAACATGCTTCAAGCGCCCAAAACGCTCAATTCGCGTCGCGCCATTCACGCAATTCGCATCATTCGCGCGTATCGCGCCCTAGGATGTCTATTCGCGCGTTTGCATTGACTTAACATGTAAATCACTCGCGCTTGACACGCGTTCCATGTCTAGTGTGAACGCAGCATAAGGGTCTGTGTGTGTTCATATATGCTCATTTATTTCTTTATTGTATATAATTACAGACGTTACAGTAGGCTATTTCACACTATCATTGATCTGCAGTTATAATCAAATCATGTTTATAGAAAAGTTAGTAGTTGGAGTTTCAGTCATTGGAGTTTTCCAGCACCATCTCGCCACATGAGCTCTAAATTCACTCGGCTTGATCTGACGCTTCGATGCATTTCTAGCTACAGGAGTCCATTGAGCTTTTGTGTCACCGCACATTTGGCTTTAATTCATGCCCTCGTGCTCATTGTATTGAATCTTGCTGACAGAAATCTGCAAATCTTCATTCAGAGGGTTTTTCTTTTACTTTTTAGTTTTCAACCAAGATCGAGATGCTTCTTGATTTAAGAATCTGGACTAGAAACAAGACATAAGAAAAGCATTTCTGCAGTGTGTTAATCTGTGAGAGCAGGCAGATTGTGTGTTCTGCAGTGCGGTCTGAGTTTGGGCGCTGACGGTGTGACCCAGCCGAGGCTCAGTAACCCAGTGGGCGAGTGCTAAAATGTCAGCAGGCATTACGATTACAGGGTCAGACCACAGATCAACTACCTCCAGAGGCCAGCGGCAGACACACGGAGAAATGATCATGCCGAAAATAGAAAAATGCACTGAAATGACGCTCGTTGCTGGAGTAACTTAGGGAACGCTTGAAAAGAACACGTCAGAATATGTCACATCAGGTTAGGTCTAAGTGGATTTGCAAATAACGATTAGAAAGGGTAAAATTATGAGCCCCTCTGTGACTTTAATTTCCTTTATTTTTTATATTTGTGCACAAAATAAGTTCTGTATATAATAACAAGGACATTTGTCGGCTGCACATCCGTGATGCCAATCTCCCGTTCCACCACATCCCAAAGCTGCTCTATTGGATTGAGCTCTGGTGACTGTGGAGGCCATTTGAGCACAGTGAACTCATCGTCATGTTCAAGAAACCAGTCTGATTGAGCTTTATGACATGCTGCGTTATCCTGCTGGAAGTAGCCATCAGAAGATGGAGACACTGTGCTCATAAAGGGATGGACATGGTCAGCAGCAATACTCAGGTAGGCTGTGGCGTTGATGCTCAATTGGTACTAATGGACCCAAAGAAAATCTCCCCCACACCATTACACCACCACCAGCAGCCTGAACCGCTGATACAAGGCAGGATGATCCATGCTTTCATGTTGTTGAGGCCAAATTGTGAGCCGAGCATCTGAATGTGTCAGC